AGATTTCTAGTAGGTCTCTAGCCCGCACTCTACAATTATTGTAAATATACTACACATAAATTTATTGTACATGGGGAAAATTTTTAAAATAAAATAAATACTAAAAGTCAAAATTGAAAAACAAATGGTCAAACCTCAAATTACTTTGATCCTAACATAATATAAGCTTTCTCGGTATATGGATGCATATTTTATTTAATGACGTAAAATATTACTTTCTACTGATTTATATTATAATTTATACACAACTGCACGTCGATGTAAACTCAATATTTTACTAGGAGCCTAATTTCAAATACACAGGTAAAAATCTCACAACTTGTCAACAACAGATGTGACATGTGTTCGCAACAGGCTTGTAGCAAGTTACATATATATTTCTAAACCATCTCGGTATAGACAATAGATATTACAACTACAAAATTTTTACATGATGAATATTAATTTATTTTATTCATTGGCCACTGTCAACAATTAATGTAAAATATCTCATTTGACAACACTGTCTTCCATAATAACGAGCATCTCAGCCCCAACCATGATATTTATAGGCTTATTATGGAATAAGGCAAGTTGAAATTTGTTTGCATAAGATATTTGCTGTGTCATACTGATCAAGACACATTCTGGGTAAGAACGTTGTTGTGGTATAGGACCAAGGGCCAATTATATTAAATTGAAATGGTCAATGGGACCATGAGTCAACAGCTTAACATGTAATAACAAGTACCCTGAATTTCAAAACCCAAAAAGTAAATTTAGATTTTGAACTTTGTTAAATAAAGCTTTTGCAACCATGAAACAAAAATAGTTTAACGATGTTTATATAAACTGTGAGTATAACAAAACCAGAACTTCAAAGTTTCGAAATTAAACAAGTTGCTCTCAACGTTTCGAAGTTGTTCATCCCTGCATAATAACCAATTTAAAACCACATATGAACAATACCCGACTGCTTATTTTTCAACTATCCAGCATACATCAAATGCAACCAGCGTAGAGCCATTGTGTTTGAACTACATGTTTCAACATTCTGTACTATTTTCATGAGACACCCACTCACTGGACAATGCGTATAATTTTCGAAGTGTCTGAAAATGTTAAACTTTCAAATAATAATTGATGCACTCCCTGTTGGGCTACAAAATTGTGTTTTTGGTGTATAAAATACTGCAAGTCATTTCTTTATATACTGTATATCTAGCCGTTCTTTTATTTGTCTGTAAAGGTTCGCCATGAACGAACAACACAATGTCAATGAGGAAAAAGAGAAATTTCCTCTTGAAGAGATCAAACAAGGTTTAAAAAGCAAGGGGTTTCAATATGTTATGCCTGTTGGTAACGGAAGCGATGGTCGAGTTGTTCAAGCCAAGAAATTCGATGAAAAAGAGAAAATTGAGTACGCCATCAAGATTCTTCTTGATACTATGAATGATGAAAAGGCGAAATACAGGAAACGAGAATTGTACGCTCTCAAAGCAAATAAAGATTCTCATCAGAATATTGTCAAATATTACGAATATTGGAACACCTCACTAAATAAACGTCAATTTCTGTTTATTCAAATGGAGCTCTGTCGACTTAACTTGGAAGCGTTCGTCTATAAGAACGAGATGGGTAATGCAGAAATTATCAAAGCTCAAGGTCCGCCACGATTTTATCAACACGCTTTTCCGCAGCTTTTGAAAGGTCTATATTTTATCCACGAAACAATGGGATGGGTACATCGCGATCTTCACCCCAGTAATATTCTCATAGCAAATCCAAATCCACAACGAATCAGTGACATTGTTGTCAAGATCGCTGATTTTGGTCGTGCCAGGGAAATTCGTTCGATATTCGACGCATCTGCATCACTCACTGATGCCTCGAAACTGGAAAAGCTATCTACTGAAGTAGGGAATAAACTATTCAGAGCGCCTGAACTGAATACTCAAGATTATGATTACAAAGTAGATTTATACAGCGCAGGAATCGTACTGTACTTTCTCAGCTGTTACCTTGAAGATAAAGAGCAATGGAAAAACGAGATTAAGGCATTTAGAAATGGGGAACGTCGTTCTGAAGATTTGTTCCACCAAGACGACAAGCATCTAGTCAGCCTGATACAGTCGCTTTTACAAGAGAAAGAAAAACGTCCGACCGCCGAAGAAGCCTTAAAGACTGCCAACAAACTTGGCGAAACCAAGGAACCTGTAGAATCCCAGATACTTGTTGAATCCAAGAAACCTGTTGAATACACAAACACGGGCAGTCGTGCACCCCAAGTTTTCGTGAAGAAAGATGGTGAAACAGCCGCGTATCGATTCCCGAGAAAAGAGTATACCTTGTCTAGTTTAAAAGCAGAAGTGGAGAAGTGCACTGGTGTCAAAGCCGAGTCTCAATTACTACGTCAAAGTACAACTATGCCTGAAGCAAAACTAGTTAACATAATACCAGACGAAATTTTTCAAAACATTTTTGACAGTGCCAGTATAGGAGGAAAACCAATCCACATCAATGTTTCAGACTCCACATATACTGTCAATCGTGAAGAGAAGAGATTTCGGGTAAAAAAAGAAGGCGAGTTGGTCTGGAAACGATGCTCAACGAAAGACTACACCTTATCCAGTTTACAAGCAGGAATAGAGAGTTGCATTGGCGTTAAAGCCAAGTCTCAATTAATAAGTCAACAGACATCAATAGGACTGACTGCCATAAATTCTGACAGTGATGTTCAAAGCCTGTTTACCAGTCCCAGTAACGAAAAAGGACAGCCAATCTGCGTCATCGTTTCAGACTCCAATCGTAAAGAGAAGAAATTCCGAGTAAAAAAAGAAGGCGAGTTGGATTGGAATCGATGCTCAACGAAATATGATACGTTATCCAGTTTACAAGCAGAAATACAGAATTGTATTAACATCAAACCAGAGTTACAGGTATTAAAACAACAGACAACAATATACGGCAAAGATCGAGAGATTGGCATAACGTCTGATGGAGATGTCAAAAGTATATTTGAAGCAGGGGATCTAGTTGATATCATTGTTTCGAAAAAATTATCACCAAACAAGCTCCCCGCAAACCTTGGTAACCGTGAAGCGAATAACTTCTTATTAACAAAAATCGACAATTTGTGGGATTCGGAACTATGTTCGATAGAAGACGATACCTTATCAAGTTTGAAAGCAAAAATAGAGAGTTGCACTGGCGTTAAAGCCCATTTACAAATACTATATCAGGAGACAACTATAAATAAGAGACCTTGTCGGATTGCCATAACGTGTGATGATTATGTTAAAAAGATGTTTAAGGCTGCCGAGAAAGTTGATATCATTCTTTCACAAAATCAGTTACCACAAAGCGAGCTCATGTTTTTTATAAAGAAAGCTGGTGAAGCGGCCTTGGAGCGGTGCTTGATCAAAACCGATGCCTTAAACTTATCGAGTTTAAAAGAAGCAATAGAGAGCTGCATCGAAGTCAAAACCGATTCACAAGTACTATGTTACAAGACAGTTTTAAGTGGTGAAATTCAAGAAATTAATATAAAATCTGATCAACTTGTTCAATGCATGTTTCTTGAGAGTACTGAGCCCATTGTTGTCACTGTTTCACAAAAAAATGATGCGAGCCTGGACATGTATCAGTAAAGCATGACTTCCAATTTTAGGCGAAACCGAGGACATGAACCAATTGCAACAACTCGCTATTCAATGCAGAACGAACTTAATGTTTTGAAACAACTTTTTATACTTGCAGCTAATTATGTATAATCTCGAGCAGTCTGTGCCAGTGTAGGTAGAGACGATCATATAAAATAACTGAGGATTGAGAGAGACACAATTACCTGCAAAATACAAGCAGAACTTCTACGTTTCGAATGAAGGCCCTGTATTCCTCAGCTAGTTGTATCTCTTTCAATCCACAGTTATCTATAATTAATATAATTTGTCATTGTCGAGGCCATTGCTGTGGCCAAAATATAAAGATGTGCATTTCAGTTAGGGACCGTTCATTAATTATACGCCAGGGTGGGCTGGAGGAAAAAGAGCAGAAACGGTGCAAGTTTTCCATGACCCCTCCCATTAAGGTGTTAATGACCCCCCCCCCCCTTCTAACCGACAATTTTTTCACAACCCCCCCCATTTATTTTCACCAAGTCGTGCAAATCCCCCCATTTAATGCTGAAAAC